GCTTTTAAGATGACACATTTTTTCTGATTATTATGTATCTTCAGTATTTCATATTTATTATTCAACATTTACCTGTACTTTATTTTATTTATTTATTTATGTTTTGGGTCCGGTCGTAGGGCCTGAAATCTGGGCCTGGACGCTGTCCCTCAGCTCTTCAGCTCAAGGCTAGCACTCTACCACTTGAGCCACAGCACCACTTCCGGCTTTTTTCTTTTTGCTTATGTGGTGCTGAGGAATTGAACCCAAGGTCTCAGGCATGCAAGGCAAGTGCTCTACCACTGAGCCATCTTCCCAGCCCCCTTACCTGTACTTTAAATAGTTATTTCTTTTCTTTTTCTTTTTTTTTTTTTTTTGGGTTCGGTTATGGGGCCTGAACTCTGGGCCTGGGCGCTGTCCCTCAGCTCTTCAGCTCAAGGCTAGTGCTCTACCACTTGAGCCACAGTGCCACTTCCGGCTTTTTTCTTTTTTGCTTATGTAGTGCTGAGGAGTCGAACCCAGGGCCTCAGGCATGCAAGGCAAGCGCTCTACCACTGAGCCACCTTCTCAGCCCCAAATAGTTATTTCTTCAGATGTGGTATTTCCACCAGGCACTGGTGGCGTATGTCTTTAATCCTAACTACTCAGCAGACTGAGCTCTGAGGATCACAGTTTGAAGCCATCCTGGGTAGAAAAGTCCATGAGATTATTATTTCCAGAAAGCCAGAAAAGTAGAGCTGTGGCTCAAGTGGTAGAGTGCTAGCCTTGAGCACAAAAAAAAGGTAGAGATAGCACCTAGGCCCTGAGTTCAAGCCCAGGACTAGAATACACAAAAAGTGATATTTCCTAGTCACATAGTGAGTAAAACTAGTTCATGTCAGTGACTTTTAAATTACAAAAACAAGATAGCACTTAATGTTATTAAGAAATGGTTATTAAGATAATCCTTATCATGAAAAATGGCTTATTTTCTGTTGTGTTTTTTTTTTTTTTTTTTAGCAAAAGAAGCATTTGAGAAGAAAGTATCTCCAATAATAATAGATAATACAAACCTTCAGGCATGGGAAATGAAGCCATATGTTGCTTTGGTTTGTATTAAGAGCTGTCATAAGTTTCTGATAATGGAATTGGAGTTGTGGGGGATGTTGATAACATGTGAATCTTAAGCACTTGAGAGTCTCTTGATTCTTGCTCTGTCTCTGTGCTTTTTCTGTTTAGATTGAAATAAGAAAAATTGGATTATTAGTATGATCATGAATTTTTCCATAAAGCTGAATTTAGTTAGGTTTAAATTCTGAGATTCAAAGGATCCATTCTGAGATTGATTTTGCCTTTTGTTATTTTTCATGAAAAGGTATTACTTTGTGTGTGTGTTTGTGTGTGCATGTGATTCTGCCAAATAAGATTGCTTTTACATGGTAGAATCAAAATTTGGTGGCTCATGTTAGTTTTCATATTTATTTTTTAAAATTTTTGTTGTGCTAAGAAATTCAGAGTTCATAAACTAAACTATCAATTGCCCAAATTTCTTTCCTCTTAATATTTTTCTCTTTTTCCTTTGCCTTGAATATAGTCACTATTATTTTCCTCTTTGGGGTATCTCTTTTTTGCTCAGCAAAAATGATATCAAAAGCAGCGTTAGGTATTCTCCCCCTGGCCCCCCATTGAATCCTGGCTTAATTCTGTCATAGACTGAAGCACACAGTTTTTATCAGTAGGTCATGGATCAAGCCTTCCCTCTCTGCCCCTTTTTTCTTCCCTTTAAGAGGCACCGAAACGATTAGTTCCCAGGCTGTACATATACTGATTTCTAGTAGCACTATTATCTATCATTGAATCTTAAGGGTATAGCACTATGTTAGATATATAATAATTTAAATAATTATGAAATGGCATACACATTTTTGTACTGTATATAAATTGATAAATGAAGCTTTTTTTTTTTTTTTTTTCTCTTTGCTTGAACTCAGGGCTTGGACACTGTACTTGAGCTTCTTTTTTTCTGCTCAAGGCTAGCACTCTACTACTTGAGCCACAGCACCATTTCTGGCTTTCTGTGTTTATATGGTACTGAGGAATTGAACCCAGGGCTTTATGCATGCTAGGCAAGCACTCTATCACTAAACCATATACCAAGCCCAAATGAAGTGTTTTGTTTTGTTTTGTTTTTTTTGCTGGTCTGTGCATTGTCTCTGGGCCTCTTTGTACTCAAGGCTCAAGGCTATAGCTCTATCATCTGAGCCATAACACCACTTCCATGAAGCTTTTTTAACTGGAGTATTTTTAAATTATTATTCCATCATTAACACATAGAGATGCAATTTAGGCTTCTGTAGTGATTGTTCTAATGCCTTTTGTATGTCCTGAACACATCCAAACTGTCTCCTTTGTGGTATCTTCTGCCCTTGTATCTTTTTTTTTTTTTTTTTTTGTCAGTTATGGGGCTTGAATTCAGGGCCCAGATGCTGTCCCTGAGTTATTTTGCTCAAGTCACTTTGAGTCACAGTGTTACTTCTGGTTTTCTGGAGATAAGAATCTCACGGGGACTTTCCTGTCTGGGTTGGCTTTGAACCTCAATCCTCAGATCTCAGCCTCCTGTGAGTAGCTAGGATTACAAATGTGAGCTGCCAGTGCTGGGCCCTTGTATCATTTTGAAGAAATGTTTTTTCATCTTTAGAAGTCTTCTGCTTGTTGTGTTTCTGATGTTCATTGAGCATGTTAGCTTGTGTGTTTTTCTCTTTTTTATTTTTTTACATGATAATTAAAAAATGTCAAACTTTCCAGTATTGTTTGCTTGGTCTTCCTAAATGAGAAGGACTTTTGCAAATCTAGAGTGCCAAGCTACTTTTTTATGTATGAGAAAGTAGGTATAGGCTGGGTGTGATTCAGTGGTAGAACACTTGGCTAGCACTGGACCTAGATTGCAGGATAAAAATGTAGATACAGGGGCTGGGAAGGTGGCTCAGTGGTAGAGCGCTTGCCTTGCATGCATGAGACCCTGGGTTCGATTCCTCAGCACCACATAAGCAAAAAGAAAAAAGCCAGAAGTTGTGCTGTGGCTCAAGTGGTAGAGCACTAGCCTTGAGTTGAAGAGCTGAGGGACAGCGCCCAGGCCCAGGCCCCACAACCGGATCCCCCCCCCAAAAAAATATAGATACAGCAGTTACTCTAGCAAAGGCATATCACTTCCCCTTTCTTTAGGAAGCAAGATAGTAAGAGCTGTCAGGAAGTAGAATAAAGAAGACATTGTAGTCTATTTCTGCATGTTATTTACAAAATAGAAAGCTGAGATTCAATAGGTAGCAGTCAAATATTTTTAGTGACAAATGCCAAAACTTATTCCTTTGCTTTAAAAGTACATATTGCTAAACAAATTTTTCTTCAGAATCTAAGAAAATACATAACTGTCATGTTATTTCTATACATGTGTACCATATGCTTTTGATCTACTCTTGCTTCTTGAAACAGGATTTTTTGTTTTTGTCAGTCGTGGGGCTTGGATTCAGGGCCTGGGCACTTCCCTGAGCTCTTCAACTCAAGACTAGTGCTCTACCACCTTAAGCCACTGCATCACTTCCGGTTTTCTGGTAGTAAATTGGGGATAAGAGTCTCACAGACTTTCCTGCCCGGGCTGGCTTTGAACCGTGATCCTTAGATCTCATTCTCCTGAGTAGCTAGGATTATAGGCGTGAGCCACCAGCACCTGGCTTTTGAAACAATTTTAACAGGTTTCATTGTTCAGCTTTCATGCAAGTGAATATTCATCATATGTCTTCTTCCTCATTCATCCTATTTTTTAGCCTTCTTCCCTTCTTCTGGTACTTGCACCTTCTATCAGAGTCTATTTGTATTCTTTTGCTATTTCAAATAGTAGCAAACTGTATATCTTAGCAGGTGTGTGTATATTTGTGTTGTGTATATGTGGATTTATCTATCCTTTTTTTGTTTTCATATTAATATTTTATTTTTTGGGGGGGTGGGCTGTCGTGGGGCCTGAACTCTGGGCCTGGGCACAGTCCCTCAGCTCTTCAGCTCAAGGCTAGCACTATACCACTTGAGCCACAGTGCCACTTCCAGCTTTTTCTACTTAAGTGGTGCTGAGGAATTGAACCCAGAGCCTCATGCATGCAAGGCAAGTACTCTACCACTGAGCCACCTTCCCAACCCATCATGTTAGTATTTTCAGTGCTACATTTCTGGAAATAAATTGCTGCATCAAAAAGATTTTTATCAGTTTAACATATCCATGAGAGAATCTTTGAGTCATCTTTGAATTTTTGAGGTATTTTTTTGTGTGTGTGTGTGTGTGTGTTGGGTGTGTGTGTGTGTGTGTTGGGTGTGTGTGTGTGTTGGGTGTGTGTGTGTGTGTGTGTGTGTGTGTGTGTGTGTGTGTGTGTGTACGCACATGCACAGGCTGGTCCTGAGGCTCGAACTCAGGATGTGGGCCCTGTCTGAGCTTTTTTGTTCAAGGCTGATGCTTTACCATTTGAACCACAGCTACTCTTTTTGCTGGTTAGTTGGAGATAAGAGTCATCTGTGTTAGCTTTGAACCATGATCCTCAGATCTCAGCCTCGTAAGTAGCTAGGATAGTAGGTATGAGCCACTGGAATTTACCTTGGTTCTTTCATTTTTAACATGCTATGAATTTAGGAATAATATGTTTAGTTTCACAAAATATTCAAAATGTTTGTTTTAATGTCTTTTTTATATGTAGTCTCAGAAGCATAAATATAAAGTCCTTTTCCGGGAACCAGACACATGGTGGAAGTTCAAGCCAAAGGAGCTTGCAAGGTAAAACTTGAATTTGTTTAACATTTTTTGTCATTGTTCTCTCTCTCTTTTTTTTTTTTTGTTTCATAACAATGATGGGAAGTCCATCTAGATTTTTTTTTACTTATATAAATGATGAATGAAATAAAAATGGTTAGAATTCAGCCTTATTAATAATAGAATTAAAAATGGTTAGAATTCAGCCTTATTAATAATAGAAACGTTATTTGATTTATGCTTTCTCCTAGTTTTATGAAGTTGGAAGCTTTTTGTATCTAAAATTGAGTTCATAGTCAAAAACATTCTTATTGTCTTATATGGTTAAATGGTAGTTTCTTTTAATAATATGTCAATGTCTGAGAATAGATATAGACTGTTCAATTTGGGTATAGTGCTGGAAGGATCTGTAACTGTCCAGTGACTTAGAATACTGGAAGGTAGCAAGAGGTAGAGATAGAAAAGGTAGCAAGTATCTAGGTATACAGGAATTTCAGCTCTCGGTCAAGATTATACTTTTTTCTTTATTTGGTTGCTTGGCTTTAATGAAAGAGTTTCTTACCATAGGAAATGAAATGTTTTTCTTTGCCCTCTGCATTTCCTTAGAAGATAGATGTAACTTAATTTTGATCAAACTAGTTTCATCTTAACAATTTAAACTAATTTCAACACTAAATTAGAACAGCTTGACTCTAGTAGAGTTCCAGTGTTACGTGACCATTACTACTGTGTAATTCAAGGACATTTCCAGTTCCTCAAAATATATCTGCTAGTAGTTACTTACTCCCAAGTACTCCTAATTATAGCCAACTGCTAATCTCTCTTCTCTTTCTGTTGAGTTTCCTATTCTGGACATTACAGAAAAGGAATGTCCTTTTATGTCTGGCATAACATGTCCTCTTACGGCCTTTTATGTCTGGCATATTTCAGCTAAAGTAGAATAATGTTTCAAGGTCCATCCATGCTGTATAATATATCTCTACTATTTATTATTCTTTTTATTATTATTCTTTTGTTTTTTTTGTTTTTTTTTTTGGTCAGTCATGGGGTCTGAACTCTGGGCCTGGGCACTGTCCCTCAGCTCTTTACCTCAAGGCTAGCACTCTACCACTTGAGCCAAACCTCCACTTCCGGCTTTTTCTGCTTATGTGGTGCTGAGGAATTGAACCCAGGACCTCATGCATGCAAGGCAAGCACTCTATCACTGAGCCACCTTCCCAGCCCCTTTTTAATTATTCTTTTAATACAATACAGGGTTTGGTTTTCTGTATTTCCTTCAGGAGTTTTGCATCAGTATAATAGTTACTAGATAGACATGCATGCATGACTTTGGTATAATTTTAGATTCATAAAATTAATGGGGAAGTATTTTTTCTTTTTTGCTGGTCCTAGGGCTTGAACTGTGGGCCTGAGCACTGTCCTTTAGCTCTTTTTGCTAAAAGTTAGCACTCTGCCTCTTGAACCACAGATTCACTTCCTGTTTTTTCTGTGATTAATAGGAGTTAAGAGTTTCTCAGACTTCTCTGCTTGGGCTGGCTTTTGACCACAATCCTCAAATCTCAGCCTCCTGAGTATCTAAGGTTACAGGTGTAAGCTACCAGTGCCCAGTCTATTTTTAATTTCTTATTCAGAGTTCGTGGTATTTGATAAAGTTTGCCTAAACTTTTAAAACTGACTGGATCTGGTATTTTATTTGTAACAAAGTTCAGTTGAATTTATGTCCCTTTTTTCGTATTTATTCTTACTGGAGATGAGGTTTGTTTTGAGTAAGCCTTTTCAAATAACTCTTGATTTGGTTGATCTTTCTGTTTTGTAAGTTGTAATATGTTTAATTCATTTCTGCTTCTCTTTTTTCTATATTCTTAGCCTTTAAAGATATCTATTTTGCTTTGCTTACTTTAAAAACTTATTTTCTTGAGGGTTTGGGTCATCTTTTAGTATGTATTCTTGATGCTATACATTTTCTTGAGCAGTATTTTATCTGATCTCCAAATTTTGATATAGAATACTTTCTCTTGGTTGTTATTTATTTAGTGCTGGTCTTGGGGCTTGAACTCAGTACCGGGTGCTGTGACTGAGCTTTTGTGTTCAAGGCTAATGCTCTTCTACCTGAGGTACAGCACTACTCCTGGCTTTTTGGTGGTTAAGTTTTGGAGATAAAAGTCTCATGGACTTTTTTGCATGGGCTGGCTTCAAACCATAATCCTCAGATCTCAGCCTTTGAGTAGCTAGGCTTTTATTTACTTATTTTCGTTGGTTGTGGGGCTTGAACTCTGGGCCTGGGCGCTGTCCCTCAGCTCTTCAGCTCAAGGCTAGCACTCTACCACTTGAGCCACAGTGCCACTTCCGGCTTTTTTCTTTTTGCTTATGTGGTGCTGAGGAATTGAACCTCATGCATGCAAGGCAAGCGCTCTACCACTGAGCCACCTTCCCAAAATTCTTTAACTTGGGTTATTTACAGCTATGTTTTAAAATTTCTGAGCAGAAAGGTCTTTTTAAAAAAAGTTGACTTTCAACTGAGCTCTATAGTAGGTTTATGGCCTGGTTAATTGTTACATCTTAATAATTGTTCCAGGTTTGCTTGGTAAGAATGTATAGTTTTAGTGGGTTAATATACCCAATAATCATTCTTGCTAATTCCGTTGCTCAACATCTGCAGCCTTTTTTGCCTTTTTTTGTCTTATTAATGGGTTTATTTTGGAAGGGGGATATGTGACGTATGTATTTAAATATCCTTATTATGCTGTCAGTTTCTCCTTATTCTATCCATGCTCATTTATATATTCTGAGGTTAGTTGTTGAAGTTCATAGGAGCTGGCTTTTGTTTTTAACAATACTAGGATTAAAACTAGAGCCTGGCACATGCTACTCAAGCACTTTACCTCTTGAGCCACATCCCTCGTTTTGTAGGTGCTGATTTTGATATCACTAATCAAATCTTTTATCCTTTCCTAGTGATTTCCTTTTATCTTTACCAGTACTTTTTGTTGTGCAATCTAATTTGTCTAATAGTAATAGAACCATATCCATTTCCTTTTCTTAGTATTTGAATGTTATTTCTTGTTCCTTCTTTTTTCTTTCATTCTTTTAGTACTCTTATGGTGGGCACTATCTCTTATAAACCAGTATGGCTAGTTTTGAAAATTCTACTCTATCTTGTTTTGGCTTATAGTGGATAAACACAGTTCATGGTCATTTCTTTATTTCTTACTGTTCTATTTATTTCACCTTTTCTATGGTTGTTCTTTTAGCACAGAAAAGTATGTGGCTTTTCTTCTCCTGCTATGCCTTATCTTGGATTTTTTTGGGTCAAATCTAAATTTTCTAGTTCAATTTTTTTTCTATTCGAATTTGTACATTAAATACATCATGTTTATTTTTAGTGGCTACATTATACGTTTTATCGTGTATATTTTAAACTAATTTTTTAGGCTTCTTCATAAATACTAAGACTAAAAGCATTATAACTATGGTACTTAAACTTCCCTTTCAACTTACATAGTGTCACTCTCCAGTATCTGAAGAAGTGCTGGTTTTTACTCATGTAATCACTGCTTTGCACTTCTGTTTTCCTTGCATCATAGACTTTATTCTTTTTTTTTTTTTTTTTGGTTCGGTTGTGGGGCCTGAACTCTGGGCCTGGGCGCTGTCCCTCAGCTCTTCAGCTCAAGGCTAGCGCTCTACCACTTGAGCCACAGCACCACTTCCGGGTTTTTTCTTTTTGCTTATGTGGTGCTGAGGAATCGAACCCAGGGCCTCATGCATGCAAGGCAAGCACTCTACCACTAAGCTACCTTCCCAGCCCTCATAGACTTTATTCTGAGAGTTTCCACCTGCCTGATAGTTTACCTCAAATTTTTTTTTTTACAAAGTCTAATCTGCTTGTTGAATTCTTTGTTTTTAAATTTTAGTTTGAATTTTTTTTTGCTGTTCTGGGGCTTGAACTCAGGGCCTGGGAGCTATACCTGAGCCTCTTTGTGTTCAAGGCCTGCCCTCTACCACTTGAGACACAGCAATACTTCTCGCTTTTTTTTTTTTTTTTGAGTAGTTTATTGTATATAAGAGTCTCACAGGGACTTTTCTGCACAGCTGGCTTTGAACTGCGATCCTCAGAACTCAGCCTCCTGAGAGCTAGGGATTATAGGAGTGAGCTGCCAGCGCCCAGCTTTGAAAATCTTGTATTGCCCTCATTCTTTTAAGGTACTTTTGGTATATAATCTAGATTGACAAGCTATTTTCAGTTATTAAAGATAACATTTAATTATTGTCTCAATTCCATTACTGTTAAGTTAGCTATGAATTTAATCATTGGTTTCTTTGTGTATGGCTAGCTTAAATTAAAAAAAAAAAAACAAAACTTGCAGGCTATTTTAAAGTATCATCTCTTTGTCTTTGAGTAACAGTTTTAGTACATTGTTTCTAGTTATAGATTTCTCACTAAAAAAAAAATCTTTTTTTAGGATTTGTTTGGCTCCTTGGCTACTGAAATCAGGGGATTAGTATCTTTCATCAGTTCTGGAAAACCCAGCATTTTGTATTAAGTTGCTTTTGTCCCACTTTCTTCTCTTCCTGGGACTTGGATTAGGTATATACAGACTTTTTTGTTCCGGCGTCCATGTCTATGTTTCTTAACCTCTTTTTTCATATTTTCCATCTCTGCTCCTTCTGTGATCAGAAACCAGACGAGATCGAGGAAAGGTAAATATGAAAGCCAGATTCACCCAAGAGGCAAGCGCTAATATTAGTTCTGGGATTCAGACACAAAGTGTTGAATCCAACCCAAGTTAAAAAAGTTGCAACTGAGATATTTTGTTAAGACAGACCTGTGGATGGATTAAACATACCTAGCTGACCTGCTGGCAGATATAAATCCAGATGCTGTATAAATGAAAACACCCTTAACTTAAGGCCCAAGGATATCCATGTGTAATGTTTTAGCTAAATATAAGCCCATTAATAAAACACACAAATAAGCCTTTATGAGTGAAGGCACAAATAATAAACTTACTTGGACATCCACAGACTTCATATGCTAGGATTTTTTTTTTTTAGTTTGCACTTAAAGTGTAATGAACACCTTGTTTTAATTTACTTGGGATCTAGTTTTATTTAACGAGAAGGCACTGTAAGACATCTAGTCTGTCATAGTAGTTAAGTAGAACCCTATATAGTGAGATGCTTATTACTAGCTCAATTAAAGTCTTGAAATGACTCATGTTCCTAGGGGAATTTTTTTACAGAGCTTGAGAACATCTTTTCAAAGTTATTGAGACTGCTTTTTCTCAAGTTCATAAGGATTATATGGGATAATTAAAGAAATGGTAAATTAAGAAATCATGACTAGCCATGTGTCCATGGCTCATGCCTGTATTCCTAGCTATTCAGGAGGCTGAGATCTCAGGATCGTGATTCAAAGCCAGCCCAGGCAGAAAAGTCCCAGTGAGACACTTATCTCCAATTAACCACTCCAAAATCAGAAGTAGAGGTTTGGTCAAAGTTGTAGAACAGTAACTTTGAGCGGAAGAGCTCAGGGAAGCGCCCAGGCCCCGAGTTCAAGCCCTACAACTAACAATATAAAGGAAGAAAAAAGAAATCATGACTAAAATGAAAAAATAGAAAAAAAATATATCATATCTTAATAAACCCATTTTGGTATTCATTTTGGGGGACAGGGTTTTAGATAGGGTCTCACACTAGCTAGCCCAGGCTAGCTTTGAACTTGCCATGCTACTGCCTCACCCTTCTGGGTTCTGGAATTACTGATATGTACCAACATGTTCTGATATATATTATATTAGAAATCACAGCCAGGTGCTGGTGGCTCATACCTATAATCCTGGCTACTCAGGGGGCTTATATCTAAGGATCACTGTTCAAAGCCGTCCTGGGCAACAAAGTCTGTGAGACTCTTATCTCCAGTTAACCACCAAAAAAGCCAGAAGTGGAGCTGTGGCTCAAGTGGTAGAGCAGCAGACTTGAGTGAAAAAATAAAAGGTCAGCTCCCAAGCCCCGAGTTCAAGTCCCACTATTGGCACACACATATACAAAAATGTATGATTAATGGGGTTGGGATAAAGTTCAGTGGTGGAGTGCTTGCCTTAGCATATGCAAAGTCCTGAGTTCAGCCCTCAGCACTGACAAGTATGAAAGAAATGTACTATTTTTCTGTTCTTTTTTTGAAACTTAATTATCAATATTTTTTCTGTGCTCTTCTTCCCTGGAATTTTCAGGCGTAATATTCATGGAGTAAGCAAAGAAAAAATCACAAGAATGTTGGAACACTATCAGCGCTTTGTTTCAGTGCCCATAATCATGAGTTCTTCAGTTCCAGAGAAGACTGAACGGATTGAATTGTGTGCATATGCTTATGAGGATAGAAGTTCCAGGTTGGTTAAAGTGTCTTATTCATACAAATTTAATTTGAAACTTTTTTTTTTGCCAGTCCTGGGGCTTGAACTCAGGGCCTAGGCACTGTCCCTGAGCTTTTGCTCAAGGCTAGCATTCTACTACTTGAGCCACAGCGCCACTTCTGGCTTTTTCTGTGTATATGGTACTGAGGAATTGTACCCAGTGCTTCATGCATGGTAGGCAAGCACTCTACCACTAGGCCACATTCTCAGCCCCCGTTTTTTGTTTTTGTTTTTTTAATGATAACTTTTAGAGCTTGTGGAATCACTGCCAGTTAACTTTAAAAATAAGACAGACCTTTGTTGTTTGTACATTCTCACCTGGAGTTATCTGACAATAAACAAAATTAGAGGAAAAGTTTTTGTGGAAGATGAAAGATTTTCTATTAGGCTCAGGGTTTTGTAAGTCTATGAATATGCTATGAATATACTTACATGATGTCTTCTGTTATTCCAGTAACCTCCTTTTCTCCTTTGTTGTTATTCTGTATATACCCATATCACTTATTAATTTTCTAATGTTTTAGTGGAAATACTCTTTCACAATAGTATCACAGAAATTATTCACAGTATACTTTTATTAAGTAATATAAGTCAGAGCCCTCTGGAAGTTTGCAGTCCAGAAACTACTTGTCAGCTTAGGGTCTTTATAACAAAATTCCTCAGAGGTTCTGCTACTTCCCAGTTGGGCCTCCCAGAAGACCAGTACTTTGAGGCATGAGTTACTGAGGAACCTTATCTGAGTCACAGCAGTACTGATTCTATTAAAATTGAAGAAGTGTGTAAAGAAGCAGTTCTTAATTACCTGTGTAGTATTATGGCAAGGCATGGGGAGGCTGTGTTACGGATTTGGGTATGGGATATGGAAATTCACAAATGCCTTTTGGAAAGGCAAAGTTGAAAAGTGGTTAAGACCATAGACTGAAGGCATATTTTTGTTTTCCTCTTTCTTCCTCCTGTTCCTTTCCCTCCTCCTCTCTTCTTGTTGTTGTTCAGTTGTTGTTCTTTTTTTTTTTTTTGGTGCTGATCCTGGGGCTTCAACTCAGGGTTTTGGCACTGTCCCCAGCTTCTTTTCATCAATGCTAGTGCTCTACCACTTTGAGCCATAGTGCCACTTCTGGCTTTTTTCTGTGGTTAATTGTAGGTAAGAGTCTCATGGACTTTCCTGCCTGGGCTAGCTTCGAACTGCAATCCTCAGATCTGAGGCTCCTGAGTAGCTAGGATTACAGGTGTGAACCACCAGCACCCGGCTCATATTTTTTTTTCTGAATTCAAATCATAAAGCTTGTAATCTTTGATAATTATAGAATCTCTGTATACTTCAACTTCTTATACCAGAATGGCACTAATAACACTCTGTTTGTAAGGATCTTACAAAGATTATAAATGAACACCTCAAAGGACCTAGAATAACATGGGTACAGACATAATGCTAGTCATGTGTAGTTTAGAAAGGTTTCATGGGAGCCGGGCGCTGATGGCTTATGCCTGTAATCCTAGCTGCTCAGGAGGCTGAGATCTGAAGATCACGGTTTAAAGCTAGCCCAGGCAGAAAAGTCCCCATGAGACTCATAACTCCAATTTACCACTCAAAAACCAGAAGTGGCTCTGTGGCTTAAGTGGTAGAGTGCTAGCCTTGAGCACTAAGAGGCTTAGGGACAGTGCTCAAGCCCCAAATTCAAGCCCCACAACCTACAAAAAGAAAAAAGGTTTCATGGGAGTTGCGACTTTGAGAGTTCCCGGAATAAAGAAAGAAAGGAAGATAAATTGATAACTGAATAAAGAAAAATAGAAGTGGAAAGTATAATTGATAGGCAAAAGTGCTCTGAGTTTGAAAACAATATCCAAGGTGGTTTAATACCATTTCATATGTAACACATTAAAGGAAATCCTTTCCCTAATTTTTCTAAAGCATGTCAGTTCTGTTGGTGGATTTTTGTGACTATAATGGAAGCCCCTCTGTAACAAATGACAGATATAAAGGTGGACCTAGTCTAAACTTCAATAAATATCAAATAAACCAGGAGGGCAGACTCTTCTACTTTAATATTTAATGCATAATGGGCACCTTAACTGAAAATCTTGTGGTTACTACTCAAAAACAGTTTGCTTTGTATATGTTTATAGTTTCTGAGGGAAAGATGGAGATTAGCTGCTATTGTTTTTTTGTTTTTGTTTTTTTTTTCAGTTCTACTCCGGGTTGAACTCAGGATCTTACACATGCTAGGCAAGTGTTCTACCACAATGCTTTGCCACTGAGCTTTATTCCCAGCCCAGCTTTTATAATCAAAAAGTAGTTTTTGTTTTTATGATTTATGTAGCCCAGTCTAGCCTTAAATTTGCTATGTTGCCTAAATTAGCTTGGAACTCACAAACCTCTCACTGAGATTACAAGTGTGTAATCTACTATACTGGCTCTGTCTTTTTTTTTTTTGGCCAGTCTTGGGACTTGACCTCAGGGCCTAGGTATTGTCCCTGAGCTGCTTTTTCTCAAGGCTAGCACTCTAACATTTGAGCTACAGCGGTACTTCCAGCTTTTTCTGTGTATGTGGTACCAAGGAATCAAACCCAGGGCTTTTTTTTTTTAAAACTGTATTTTTTTCTTTTTTTCTTTTTTCTTTTTTTTTGTACTGGGGATCGAACCCAGGACGTTGCACTTGCTAGGCAAGCGCTTTGCCACTGAGCTACATCCCAGCCCTCAAACCCAGGGCTTCATACATGGTAGGCAAGTACTCTATCACTAAGCCACATTTCCAGACCTGGCTCTGCCTTTTATAATTTATAATTTTGTAATGTTATTTATTAAAAATGTTTAGGATTGCTATCTTGCAGTTGAATGCTTCTTTAAACATAATATTAATGAATATAGTAAGAGACTTTCTTATGATACTTTTTTAAAACATCTTACAGCCCAAGAGACAATGAAGATGTTACCTCTGAAAAAGAAGAAAATGTTTTATCCTCATCTTTGAAACACTTAGAATTAATTGAAGAGGAGAATCTTGAAGTGGCCAAAGAAAATGTGTTACCTGAGAATATGACATATCTCCCTAATGTAGATTTAAACAAAGGCAGAAAAGAAATAAGTGGTATGAATCAGAGTACACAGAGTGCTTTCATTCAGGAAGCTCCACACATGTATTTTCCTAACTCTGAAAGCAAAATTCAGGCAACAGACAGAAGTGAAGAAGAACAAGTAGAATTAACATCTGAAAAAGCTAAAATTGATGCACACAGTCCTGTAGACAGAGCATCACTGAATATTTGCTGTGGGGAAAATAATCAAGAAGACACTGATCTTGCAAATACTATACCTGTTCAAAATGAAAAACCTTCACCTAGTGAGATATTAGAAGAACGAACAACAGTAAAGAAAAAACCCAATGGGAAACAAAAAAACAAATCAACTTTGGAAAAGCTTCCTAGACAAGAGCTATCAAATTTTGTTGGTGACTGGCCTGTTGATAAGACGATTTGTCAGAGGACAAAAAGGAATCGGAAAACTGAAAAAGCCTCATCTATACAAACTGACAAAAAGTATAATCGCCCTCAGTCACGCAGAGTATTAGATACTAATATATGTATGAATGCAGATCATATCCAACAACAAGGATCCCCACAGGAAATTGTAGAGGACAGCAGGAAGTCCCAGTGTGATGATCCCTCAGAATTCCTCAATAGCTGTCAATATGATTCTTATACAAATACTGAAAACAACTCATTTAGTATTGTGAGTGACTGGCCTTCATCTGCTTCTTTAGCTCAAAGAGAGCCAAGATCAAGAATATCGAAGGCTGGTTTAAGTGAATCTATCCTAGAATTTGGAACTAGCGACAGTATGAATGAAATATCCTTATACAGACCACGGGAGGTTTGTTGGGGCACAAGCCCTGAAGAACTGAAAACGTTGGGTAGTCCCACTCTCCAAAGTTCTGAAATGCTATCCAGTGAAGTGACCCAGGATAATCAGCCTTGTCTAAGTAAAAAGATCCATAGGCACACACTGCCTCTTACTTTTACCAGTAGTGCAGCAACTATTCCTAGAGTAGTAGGACCACAGACTTCAGCTGAATTTCCAGGGGCAATGCCTAAAGGAGTCCCTGGAATAGAAGTAGGCATGTCTACACAGACTGAACCACAGGATTTTGCTCTCTTGTGGAAAATAGAGAAGAATAAAATCAGTGTTTCAGATTCGGTCAGAGTATTAGCAGGAAGATTGGATGGATTTAAACCAAAAACTTTCAATATTAACACAAAATCAAATGTGCAAGAAACAATTCCTTATAGAGTAATGTATGATAAAAGTACGTTTGTTGAAGAAAGTGAGCTTACCAGTGCTGATGAATCTGAAAATCTGAATATTCTTTGTAAACTATTTGGCTCTGTTTCATTAGAAGCCCTGAAAGACTTGTATGAGAGGTGTAATAAGGATATTATTTGGACCACCAGCCTTTTGTTGGATTCTGAAACGAAATTATGTGAGGATATGGAATCTGAGAATTTACAAAAATCATATGATGACTCACAAGTTGGGCCCTTTTCTCTCGGTTTGAATTTGAAGGAAATTATTAGCCAAAGAGGAACTTTAGAAGATTCTAATTCTTCTGTGCAAGAATTTAGTCCAGGAATTGGTATCAATAAATCTAATGCCCAAACCACCTGTGATGCAGAAAATGGGGACTTGGAGCTGGCAGGAACTATAACTCCTGAGAACTCTGGTGGCTTCATAGCAAGCATATTTCCTAATGCTGCTATAGACAGGAACAGGAATAACGGGGTGCTTCCTAATAATCCAGGTTTATATAGCTTTAAGCAGTCTCTTCCAGCTACTCCAAAGTCCACTGCCTCTAAAGATGTGAATGAAATCCAGAATAATCTAGTAGCCACGGGGTCTGGAGATAGTATGTATTCATTAAATTTGTCAGATATCGTAAACTCTATAACAGGTACATCTGATCTTGAATTAAACGAAGAAGTTTATGTTACTGACTCTTTGGAAATGAAGAAAAATGAAAATCTCCCAAAGGATTATGTCAAATTGGCAAACACAGAGGAAGTTTTGAATGAAGATGAGCAGGAAATGGAGAAAGTTCTAGTGGCAGGAACTACTATGACAGCTGGAGTTAGTGAAGAAAACAAAAGTGACATACTGAATCCCACACCAGTGACAGCCAAATCTCTGACCATTGACTGTTTGGAATTGGCTTTACCCCCTGAACTGGCTTTTCAACTCAATGAACTATTTGGCCCAGTTGGTATTGATTCAGGTAAGAAAAAAGTAAATTACCTATATGTTTGTTTTTGGTTGACTAGAACACAGAAGTTTCTGTTTCAATGACATCATTTCATGTTAACTGAAATGTGATAGTGTTGGGGGATTTCACACAAAATATTTTTTAGAGGATTTTTTTTTGGGGGGTGCCTTGGGCTTGAACTCAGGACCTGGCCACTTTTTTTATGCTCAAGGTTAGCATTTTACCATTTGAGAACCACAGATTCACTTCTATGTTTTTTTTGGGGGTGGGGTGGGGCGGGGTGGGGTGGTTAATTGGAGATAAGACTCTTATGGACTTTTTTGCTTGGGCTTTGAGCCGTGATCCTCAGATCTCAGCCTCCTGACTAGCTAGGATCATAGTCGTGAGCCACCAATGTTTGGCAGACTCTGTTTTTAAAAGTAATTTGAAGAAATAGAGAATATATTTTATGTAGAGTTCTATATCCATCTCGTATATATTGATTTTTTTTGTATTTACTTCACTTTTACTTGCATATATGATCATTTTTTAGTCCCCTGATACATGTCATTCAGGTATATATAAAGCATGAATTAAATTTTTTTTTTTTTGGGGGGGGGTCTGGTTGTGGGGCCTGAACTCTGGGCCTGGGTGCTGTCCCTCAGCTCTTCACCTCAAGGCTAGTGCTCTACCACTTGAGCCACAGCACCACTTCTGGCTTTTTTCTTTTTTTTTGCTTATGTGGTGCTGAGGAATTAAACCCAGGGCCTCATGCATGCAAGGCAAGCGCTCTACCACTGAGCCACCTTCCCAGTCCAATGAATTAATTTTTGAGAATATACTTTCTGAAAAATCTGTATCAATGAAATATATTGAGACTAAGGGTAATGAATAACAAATAGATTTATTATGAAATTTTATATATTATACCAATCAAGAAGTGTGAAAACAATGACATATAATACAAAAATATTCCAAGAGGTTTAGTAACTAGAAATGTTAGTAATTAAAAATACAGATTACTTTTCTATGTATGCTAGTTGACTGTATTTTCTGTAAAAGTATAATGAGTAATGATTATATTTTCTTTTCTTTCTCCCCTTCACAAGGGTCTCTAACAGTTGAGGATTGTGTGGTTCATATAGATCTCAATCTCGCTAAAGTGATTCATGAGAAATGGAAAGAATCTGTAATGGTTGGTAGGCTTCTTTGTATGAAGAGCTCTTTTTGTTTGCTTTGTCACCGTTGTTTTGTTGTAAAATCCACCATGTCATATGAAAGAGTTCTGTTGAGTTTTGACTTGAGAGTGAACATTCATTTCCCAATTCTCATAGATTATAAATTATTTTTCTCTTTTAATATTTGAGATAGTTCTAGATAGTTCAAGTTATATAACTAGTGATGGAGCGCAATGTGATGGTAGATTTATTATTTTTTTTGGCCAGTCTTAGAGCTTGCACTCAGGGCCTAGGCACTGTCCCTGAGCTTCTTTTGCTCAAGGCTAGCGCTCTACCACTTGAGCCACAGTGCCACCTCCGGCCTCTTCTGTGTTTGTGACACTGAAGAATTGGACCCAGGGCTTCATGCATGCTAGGCAAGTACTCTACCATTAAGCCACATTCCAAACCCTACATTTTTTTTTTTTTTTGGGTCCAGTAGTGGGGCCTGAACTCTGGGCCTGAGTGCTGTCCCTCAGCTCTTCAGCTCAAGGCTAGCACTCTACCACTTGAGTCACAGTGCCACTTCCGGCTTTTTTCTTTTTGCTTATGTGATGCTGAGGAATCGAACCCAGGGCCTCATGCATGCAAGGCATGCAAGGCGCTCTACCACTGAGCCAACTTCCCAGCCCCCCTACATTTTTTTTTTAAATTTAATTTAATTTTATTTGTGAACATACTGTACAGAGGGGTTACAATTACATGGGCAGGATAATGCGTACATTTCTTACCAAGCATTGCAGCCTCCTCTAAGGAAAAATGTAATTTTTTTTTTTTGGTCGGTCATGGGGCTTGAACTCTGGGCTTGGGCGCTGTCCCTCAGCTCTTCAGCTCAAGGCGTTCTCTACTGCTTGAGCCATAGCTCCACTTCCAGTTTTCTAGTGGTTTATTGGAGATAAGAGTCTCAAGGACTTTCCTTGCCCAGGCTGGCTTTGAACCCTGATCCTCAGATCTCAGCCTCCTGAGTAGCTAGGATTATAGGCGTGAGCCACCACGCCCAGCTATTTTTCTTTTTTTCTTTTTTTATTAATTCTCCAAAAGACTGTAATACTAATTGGTTAAATTTAAAATAATTTTAAAAAATCCAGCACAAGAGCTCTATAAGTAGAAAAAAAATATATACATGTAATCCTACTTTGTAACTTCATCTAATTTTATTGTTTTACTTAGGTTTAGTAAGACTAGCTCACATTTTTACAAAAAGAAAATGTAATATACAGTAAAACAGTGCAATTAACCTGTTTACTATCATCTGCTCCTTTGCCAATCTCCTGCTCTAAATTTTTGTTTAGGAGCGACAAAGACAAGAGGAGGTATCTTGTGGCAAGTTTGTGCAAGGTAAAGCATATATTGTTACTTTTAATGTAATGTCTTGATGTCGAACTTAGTGTGTTCTTTCTGTGTGTGTATGGTTGTTCTAGTACTGGGACTCAGCTTATTTTCATTCATGGCTGAAACTTGCTACTTGAACCACACCAGGTCTCTTTGTGTATATGTGTGTGTGTGTACACTGGGGTTTGAACTTAGGGCCTTACACTCTTG